ATGTTAAGCTATGTCCATCGAGTTACTATCTTTTTTTAGTGAGTAATGAGTTTTAGTATAGGATTCACTACAGGATAAGGTAGTTCTAGGCTTGGGTAGGCTGGAGACTTGGGTAGGAGTTCTTATCTGGCCTATGCTTGTACAATCATTGGATGTGATTAATAATTCCGTGCACACTGGCCTATGCCGGTCTTCTTCCCGGTGGGGAGCCGGAATTAGTGGTACGGGTTCAGGAGAGTTAACATCCCCACCAGCTGTTTGGTTAGCGCTGACAGGGATGTGGTGGATAAAAACTCATTGATACCTTATGATGCCCATGACTTATTAATCTGCCTAAGTGTCCTTACACGGGTTTCGTCATATGCATTGCTGCACTGTGGTTTGATGCCCAGAAGACTTGTTCCGTATATTCTGTCAAAGTTTGTTTGTGTGCCATACTCTGAAGACCCAGAGTGGTTGGTGGCTGAGCTGTGATTGTTGCCACTTGTACTATTTAGCGTGATAGTGTCACTACACCAGCTGCTAGTGTGAATTAGCATAGTATGCGAGCAAGTTGTATCATTATTGTCCGTGGACCCTATGGCCTTATTTGTGTTTTTAATTTGGTTGTTGGCATAGTTTTTAATATTAATAACCTCACAGCATGGATTCTTCCTAGGAGTTTGAAAATGTTGGGGATTTTTCATAACAAGTAGTGTATTTCGGCATGTTTGTTAACGACTTCCATTTGAATTCTCACGTTTTGGCTAGGAGAGGATATTGTCAACTTACAAGAGGGATTGATTTCTGTCTTAGGGCTATCCGGAGGCATACCTAGATTCACGGTAGAGGGAGGAGGGGTTAATTTAGGAGTGAGATTATAGTCCACAAGTCCTTCGGTTGGTACCGGGTTCTGTGGAGCTATTTTTGTGAGATTTGAGAGGGGGAGGGTACGAGTTCTACCACAACTCAAACACATGCTTAGATGCTGCCATTCCACTCCAAACACTAAAGGTTTCCCCACATGGAAAGTCACTTATAAAACCAAAGGATCGTACGAAACTGAAGAGACTCTCGACAGGTTACTTCAAACACCACGACTTTGGCACACTGGGCTTAATACTTAACGCTCTTAGTTCCACCTCACGAGCTCGAGAAACGAAGAACGCACCGCAGTAGTCAGCCTTGCTAGGGTGTATGCTCTCACAGAAATCCTAAAGAAGCGATTGAATCGCAAAAATCACAGCATTTCCCTCCTCATAGACAAAGGTAGGCTATGCACTGATTCTGCAGACATATGTGAATTATTCAACAAAACATTTGCAGCTAACTACCTTAAGCCTACAGTCCCGTTACTCGGTATACACCCCACTAATATTGAGCAACTTCCATCTCCAACCACACCAAAACAAATTGGTACCGTTGAATTCACTTATGCTAACATTAATCGAACTATTAGAACTCTCAAAAGCTCTAAAAGATTTGGCACTGACGGTATATCATCCTATTTTTATAAATATGGTGGTCCTGACATTCCTTTACTACTGCTTAAAATCTTCACAATGTCCTTAGTAACCCAAACTTACGCGGATATATGGGAAAGACATTTACTATACATAAACATATATGGGGCTCGAAAACAGAAGCCAACAACTACATGCCGATCAATATCACAATTATAGCATCTAGAATTATGCGGAGACTAGTTAAAGATAACTTACTCAAGCACATGCTTAGCTGCAACATTGGAAGTCCGAACCAACATGGATTCCTAAGATCCAGATCATGTTTAACATGCCATCTAGACTTCCTTAATTTTGTGACCAGCTGTCGTGACACACGACAGGGCATTTTATCGTGTCTACCATTTACTGCTAATACATATGCTGAACTCCTTAGAAAAACGTGAACCATTATTAGGATGGCTTAAATCATTCCTTAACAACAGGTCCAAAATAGTTCAAATTGGGTCTGTAACTTCCAAACTTAGCCCGATCACTTCTGGTGTAGTACAAGGTAGTGTCATTGGACCCCTCCTATTTACACTATATATCAACGACATATGCGCTTGCTTCTCGTATGGGAAGCCATTCATCTTTTTATATGACCTAAAATTAGTTTACACATTCCAGTGTGATGACCTGCGGTACTTCCAGAATGTTTTGCAGAATGAATCAGATAAAGTGACTGCTTGGTCACCTTTACGGAATCTACAGTTCAATCTGAATAAATGTGGTTGGATCTGCTTCGGTGCACCTTCAATCGACATGAAATTAACGTTTCAATCTGCTAACCTAACCAGACTCCGAAGTTTCGTTGACTTGGGCTAGAGGTACTCCAATGACCTAACATTCTCTGAGCAAATGGCATAGTAGACTCGAAAGTCGACGATGCACTTGTGATGAATACTCAGGAACTCTCACGACAATGAAGTGAAGCTGATTCTATACAAAACATGTGTGAGGCCGCTACTAGAATACTGTCCATTTATTATTAGCAGCACTTGCACACGTGACAAGCTAGGGATGGAAAGTATCCAACGATGCTTCACCTCCAAACTACTTGGCTACGACTGTAAGAAAGACTACATCTCACGGTGCATGATCCTAAAACTTGACCCACTTTGGACAAGATGACTTATTATAAACCTAATATTCTTCTTTAAGGTCCTTCACAAAATATCATTCTCAGGCAACAGGGACATACAGTTCGCACAGGAAGGCTCTTACGAGCTGCGTAACCAAACTCGCACAGTGACAATAGAAGCCTTTAAATCAGCACTCCGCGAAAACCCCTTCACAGTCATGTATTCTAAAATATGGAACAGCCTGCCCCTAGAAGTCAGAACCTGTGCCTCGGTTATAAGTTTCAAACGCTCTCTGTACGGACTGTTTCACTGTACTGATTACATTAATAAACTATTTATTCCTAGAACAAATCAATTATTAGTCTACTACAGTACCTAAAGAACGCGCAAAATTTCCCTAACTACTCAATAAACGATAATTAGACTAGTCGCATAGGAGCATAAAAAGGCTAAGTCGAAATAAACATATATATTAAATGGCAATGTAAAACGAATATTAACATATAAGTACAGACATTAATGTCGTATTCGTGTTCACATACTTTTTCTTTCCTCTTTGGTACTTTGCTGCTCGCCTCTTCTTTTCTATTTGCCTTGTACTGGAAGTCGCACAGATCTACACTTGGACTTAGGCTGAAGAAGTATTGTAGTCACTTACTCAAATATCATCCCTCATGGTTATGTCTAGTAATAACTCAGCATCCTTGAAGTATCCATTGTCACCGTAACAGGAAGCTGTACAGCATCCTATACAAGCATTATCCATGATTTAAAGTGGCTTACAAATAGCTTTCTGCGTGTTGGTCAACTTCCTCGTACGCAACAACCATGCAGCGACAAATGGCGGTTTTGGCTGACATGGGCGCAGTAAAATAAATCTGCCTGACAATAACCAATATCAATCGCATTACTACATCACTTCTGGTGTTACTCACGATGAAAATGCTGACAAAATTATACAAATAAATCATTTATTTTGAATTATTACCTAATTTGAATATAAATCAAGAACAAGATACGATGCCGCACACACCAAAGTTATATGGAGGAATGACTTCAAGCTTTATTTTTTCCTAAGTATCTGTAATCCATTCAACACATACTTGGGTTTTTTGTTAATGCGAAGACAATATTTCTGTACTTCTTAATGTGTTCCATTGAATGACTAGTTAGCAGGTTGTACCCACAAACTAATGTCAAAAAGGACAGCAACCATGAAGTTTCACCATAAATCAAATTTATGTAATTTAAATAATACTTATCCATGCCTGTAAAACTGATGTGTTCTAAAAGATAGGAATAAATATATACTCTTTTACTGGAATACCTGTTGGCAGCATAACTAGAGACCGGGATTTCGTTACGAAAGAGCACATGTTCCAACATGTTTTCACCACGGTTAGGTGTCTGGACGTGTTGCTACCATCCATAACAGTCGATAGTGGCAAGTAATTTGTCGAAGCGCTGGGGGCCAGAACTTCTTAACCAGTTGACACCTGGAAGTTTGAAGTCTCTTGCATTTATTTTGTAATTAGCACTAAACGAGGAGTCGTGTGCAAACGATTTAGCCAACAATGCGTGAGTTTCTCCGGTTGAGCATGGTCCTCGATAAGCACAGCTTATGAGAAGTTTGTACTTACCTCCTTGTAAGGTGATCCAGAGTGAGTCAAGTACCTCACTCAGTATTTCATTTTTCACCCTACTGACTACGAATGAGTTATATATATATATATATATATATATATATATATATACATGAGACACCCTTCATCACGCTTGCGATCCATATTTGCGCGGTTTACAGTGACAAGGCTCTTGATTTTGTGAGATTAAGGGGACAAAATTCAGTGAAACTTGAGTTCACAATTCTGCAGGTCACTGGACTGATGCTGACCTGCAGGTACTGATAATAATACGTGAATTCAAAGGTTTTGTCATTTAGAAATACACTCAGAAGAGTAATTGAACTTAATGGAATAATACCTGAGATCATTTCGAGAAAATAACTTAAAACTTTTAGGGGCTCGGGGTATCTCCTATAATATTCTTTCCGCCTAGATCTTAGACAAAACAAAACACCAAAGTGATCGCCCAAAATACGAAGTATACTTGAGGATGACTGCTTAACTAGCTAGGGATCGTGCACGAACAACTGAATGCAACAAGATGGCGTGCCAAATAGCGTGGATGCTTGACCGCGAGCATTCAGCTTAGCAAGTCGGCTCAAACAGTGAGGGTCAGCATCCAATATAGAGTAATGAATGCTGTGACTAATAGTTCTAGGGGATTACCTACCGTTACAGATGAAACCACCTGCAATTGTATTTAAAATCATTTGTAAATAGGTTGCATGGGCTTCAAAGTGTTTGAAGGAAAGTATGACATCTTCAATGTTGAAACATTGAAGTACCGTACTTGTTTTATTCACTGACATTCCTATTGGTCATTTAACACTTGAGGTCGATCAGCCGAGAGTTGACGATGCCTCCCATAATTGGTGGTGCACCTCCGTTGAGGGAGGTTAGGGCGCTGCAGTTTGGTATTCTCAGTCCAGATGAGATTGTAAGTACTTACAGTATGAATTTTTATATCCAAGTGGCTCATATTAAACTAAAATCTGTTAGTACATCCAAAAGGCTGGCCCTCCGGGGACGTTCTACTAGATGCAGTTGTTAGAACATCATTTATATGTAATGACCAGTAGTGATTCACCATGAAACATCTTACTGTGTCTAGGACTCTTGAGGTACCACTGAAAAGAAAATCTCTGGTGGGATTTGGTGATGAAACAGTTCATTGTTTGTCTGTGAAATTTGCTGAGGTTTAAAAGGAAAAGTCACTCAATACAAGCTTTAGTTTATTTAAACTGCCACACTTTTATTTAAATAAACATGTGAAGAGCTGCAACAAGGTCGAATTACATTTATAAAACCGTCTTACTTCTAATACCTCAGGAAGATATTTATTGAACGTTTACCTTAACTAGACTGAAATGCGTTAGGTAGAGGACATGTAGTAATAATTACCGAGATAACAAATAAAAACCGCTTAATCCAGCGATATACTCATAATAGGCTATGGGGTTTGAAAGGTGAGAGCCCACAATTCCATTCCAGTTATTTGCAGATGGAAGTGGGATTCGTACCTGGAGTTCATTAAGTGAAAGCTGAAGGCTTAGTTCAACTGATCAGCCTTGGATCATCAGATTTTATGATTGTTTAATCATTCGAACCACTCGACTTGGGATTTCAAGTGAATTGTAATCATGAACTTGACACCTGTTTACAGTATTCTAAATGGGGCTCTAATTTCGGTATCTTCGACATCCAGAAAACCAGGTAAATTTAGTTGAATCATTTCTCTAGTGGTCTAGTCCTCATACTCAGTCCACACTTACTGCTTACTAGAATCAAACCACTAAAACCCTCATTAAGACTGCGAGGCGAATGTATCATGGTACACTTAAAATGCTGAATTATCATCCATTACCTCTTCACTAGATAGCGGTAATGGTTTTAGCGCTTTAACAGTTCATAAAAGATATAGGGTACACTACTAACTATTGATTTCACGTCCTTTAGGACTTAATGGCCCGGAATAGATCTTTCATGTACAAAGCTGAAAGCAACTTTTATTGTATCAGAACTGATGATGCCACCCAGTTGTCCAAGCTAAGGCAGACGAAGCGGAACTTGAACCTGGGACTCAGTTATTAAAATTCTATTACTTGCGCCAGTAAGCCATATCTCCACGGTTTCAGATTTGAAAGCACTCTACCTTGACCTATGATCCTGTCTTCGTTTTCTCGTTTGTGACTTCATTTAGCATCGTTTCAAAATAGCAAGCTTACTGGTAAAAATAATAGGTGTCGTGTTAACAAAGAGTAATCATTGTTTTTACACACCGAATACAGGTTGTTGATCCAAGCATCAGGCATTCCAGGGATGTGTGTGTTTGAAACTGCATCTGATCTATTTTTGTCTAGGTAATATTATAGGCCTTTGGTTTGTATGGCCCAGGCTCTGGTACGTGTTGGGGTGTCAATCTGTCTGCTTCTTATTGATCTTATTAAATGTAATGGCTGTTCCATAGATTTTAACTCATGCAACTTCACATGGTTTTACTCGCCTAGACTTTTTTGAATATATCAATGTGCGACAACAGCTGGTTTTTTCGCCAGTGTTTCCATTGGACCACTTCTGTATTTTGTAACTGTGCTGCGCCCTAGGTAACATATCTCTGTCATGCCTTACGATTTATCTCTAGTGTGTTACAAATCATAATTTTCGTCATTAGTTTGAGTACTATGATGTTATGCTCTTTTTATCCTGATCAGAATTTGTTCCTTTGGCTTTTTTAGGTTTTAAAACTAGATTCCATGCATTTACTTATAAATAACATTCATTTACGCCAATTTGAACTACCAGTTAATCTGACTTGTCAACCAGTACTTAATTAGTTAGAGTTCATACATGCGGTACAGATTTCTGACGTACCTACCTTGCTTAAGTGTGCGTCGGTGGCATAACAGTTAGGACGCTCGCCGACCATACACATGGTCCTGGGTTTGAACCCCGGCCGACGCACTCCTTTAGCTCGCTAAGCCAGAAATAATGCTGGTGAAGAGGAAAGGTTGGGCATGAGGCTAGCAACCCCATCCTGTAAAATAAAAATAAACTGCTAAAGAAACTCCAAGCCACTAGCTTGAAGCCCTATGTTCCACTGGGGAACGTGAAGGATAAAAAAAAACCTTGCTTAAAGTGCGAAGGCTGATACTACCTAGCCGCCAAGGCTGAATTGTGTGAAGTGTGATATGATCCCGATACCTAGTGTATGAACTATGACTCCTGAATCTAATAAGCCGTATATCTACTTGTCAATCACTAGCAGCTGAAAGCGTTCAAGACACGACTTTTCGAGAATTGAGATCGTAATAATACTACCCAATCTGGTTTTGTTAATGTGCTTGGATGTATCTGAGTTTTTTCAAGGATTCTTCCTTGTGCTAAAAGTTACCCACTGCTCGGGTATCTTGATAGTCCGGTAAAACTTAGCGCTGGTGACAATTGAACTGATCAGATACATAATCTTGATTGATAAGCGTATAAACAGTTATTTATGCGCTAGATTTTATTTTTTTGTTAGTTCAGGTAGTCCAGTCTAATATAACCTAGATTACAGTATGTTTTGAAAGAGGGAATCATTGGTAGTTGTATCTCAACAATTGGAAAAAGTGAAAGCTGTAAAGAAATCAGTATTATTTTCTCCAAGACTCACTTGTAACAGAGTCTTCTTCGAGCACTGACTCCATGATGGTACATAATTCGTTACTGAAGTTCATTGCACTTTTCATAATTGTACAAAACTCATTGGATTCCCTGCTCATTTCATTCAAGCCTGTAAGTCTGAAACCTATTCAGCAACAGTGTAAAGTTTTATATACCGTATAGTTAAGAAAACTAAATTTGAAGTATATTTTTAAGTTTTCTTCCCTATTGGCACTGAAGCATGCAACCTTCTTACGTGTCCACTATTTGTAAGCTCATTCCATTCTGCCCAAGCAACCGGAAAATCAATCGAAGAGGCTATAAAGTTATATAGATTGAGATGGCTAGGTCACGTGCTGCGCATGCCTAACCATCGCCTCCCCCGACGGACGGGCATTACTAGCTGATATAGGTGCAGGTTGGAAAAGAGGAGTAAGTGGTGGCCAAACAAAAACATGGCCTCATCAATCCATGAAATCCTTGACAGTTAAACTGAGTCAGGTAGGGAGATGCAGACTTCCGGGTTCAGGCCCTCGGGACTCTAAGAATCAATGGCTAGAGACAATAGGTGACATGGCTCAAAATCGTTGTCAATGGCTTATGCAGATGTATTCAGTCTCTGTAATCTTTCATATTCCTTTCTGCCATTACTCATTCTGTTTCACTTTTATACTTGTCAAAACTCTATTGATTCTCTTCAGTCATTTTCTTGTCTACCTTTGTGTGCTATTTGGAACGTGGCAACTGGAACTGCTGCACTTCGAAGCCAAGTTCTGTGTTGAATCCAGACAGGCCCAAGCAACCGAACAAACTAGTGAAAAGTAACTTCAAAAGGAGGAAATATTTTCTGAGCATAAATGATATTATTGTGAGATTATTACTTCCAGGATCGCCTATTAAATATCTGAGTTTCTGTGACGTGCCGATCTCCCGGCCTTACATGGTCACTCAAACTTTGGTAATTAGGAGAGTTTAAGTCTATGACCCATACATTACATATGTTTGCCTAGTTGTCTGCTTGTCACCGATTATTGCAACTGTCCTCGACTCAAAAAGTTGTAGTTTTTCTAGCAGAATTGGATTGATCATTGTAGGTACTTGGATTCGAAATAGTGCTTATAACTCTCTGTCCACGATAAGTGTGGTTCGTAGACCGATACGGGTTAATTGAATTCTAACTGATTAATCTTCCTTGACTCGGATAGCACGCAGTCTATGTTTTGCTTTTCTCCTTCATACCTTATTCCGCTTGGTTTCTTATTCTTATGTAAAACTTTTATGCTTCTAACCAATATTGTCGCACCTGACTGACATCACTTTAGACTTGCTAGTTTTTTCATTTACTTAAGACATTTGTTTTAATAGGTTTAATTGTTAATAAGTTTGGAAAATGAAGATGCGAATGGTGATAACTTTATTAATTCCTTAAACTTATTTAACTGATCATGTCTTCCTCCTAGCGTGATTGTCACTCCATGTTTCACTGTACTAGGTCATAAATTAATTATTTTTCATCAGATCGACGAATATTACTTCCTATAAAAGCCGTTGGTGGAGTTTACTTGATATGTAATCAAATGTTGATGACTGTAGTCTGGAAAATACTCCAACTGAATGACGATCTTCATGTCTAAAGTCACTGTCAAATATCAAGACAAATAGTGTTGTCAGTGAACTATAACTCTGTTGGCTGTCCTCATCTTGTATCGAAGATTGCGCATGTAACTGAATAACAGTGAGTTTCCACTGAAAATACTAATACCTGCTAACTCAAGTTATCTGGTTATCAGTCAAAGAACGTGTGCACCTTAAAGGCAGTTTGCTCAGTCCTTTGCGACTTGAACGTGGTCATTAAGATTGGAAGATATAAAAAGGCTAACCGTCTTTAACCGTAGGTTCTTATGACTTATATCTGGCGGTAGGCGGTATGATGTGGTCAGTAATATTGTGGTTAGGAGTAGGGTATTAGGTATGGAGGGGGAATTAATCGGTCAGGTTGTCAAACTACATCTATCAAGATGTCTATGAACATGTGTTATGCATTTTGAGCTATCGTGTTCCCCGAAGAGCAGTGTAATCAGGCATACGATTAGGTTGGAGAAAAGTTAAGAGTGGTCAAATCAGAGCATGGAATCAATCCATAAAGTTCCTGATCGTTAGTTTGAGCCGCACTGTCTGTCTAGGGTTGCCGAGCTGCTAAAAGAACCAGTGGTTGGAGACTGTTGGGAACATGGCTCAAGATCGTTTTCAGTAGCGCAGATGCATTTACTCATTATGATTTAGATTCATTAAATTTCCATTCTGCATGTGATTTTTCTTTCTCGCGTACATCAGCGTCTACTATAGTTTCTTTGCGTTGCATATTTCTCCATATATGAGATATGGTTGTGCAATTTAGTCCGAAATTCAACATTGAAAATTCAGTTCACTAACAGGGATTTTCACTATGAGTAGACAATGGTAGTTGTAGGATAGTAAAATGCATTATTAAATTATGAACAGTTACATTTGGTAAATGTTCTACACCTCAAAATTTGGGACCACCTTACCTTGTTCTTAACATTACTGTATTGTTACATATTGCTTATACGAATTTTGTCACGGACGTTTTATAAAATCGATAGCAAGATGAGTTATAAGTTAGATAAAATCAGTGAGTCTTTGCAATCTAGTTAAGTATGAAGGATTCTAGCAACTCATTCTTGTCTATGTCTGTCAAAGTGCTCAAAGAGATATGGGCTGGACCTTTCCAATGTTACACGGAATTGAAGGGTTACAGTTATCAAGTAATAATGAGAAATAGGTTGACATTTAGTACACTAGTTAAGGAATGAGAAAATTTTCAGTCATAGCTGTCACCGATAGACTGAATTGTAATCCACTGTGAAGAGAGTGGTAAGCATTTTATCGATTTTTAGACATTCTCTTTGTCACCGTCTAACCATTGAGAGCCTTGATAGTAAGTAGGTCATTAAATATAATTTCTTGATTTTCATAAAGTGTCATTCTCGGCGCAGACTAGATATTTTTAACTATTTATGAAGTTTCAAAAGTCCAGTCCCACAAAATAACTGTAAAATAAGCTACTAAACAGAGTACATTTGTAAACATTGTGTGTTTTACTGACGTCACCTTCGCAATATTTCCAACTTTTAGTGGTAAATTAGGCGTAAAGACATTGTTTACATAAGTAAGTCAATCAAATAAGGTATCAGCCAGCAACACCTTAGCTTTTTGGAATATGTTACGTACTTGTAGCTACTGCCAAACACTATTGTGCTATACTAGCCGAAGTAACATATCGAAGGAAAGCTATTTAGTTATCAAACGAAAGCGTAATATTTGATTGCATGGAGGATTTCATCATGAGCTGACATCAGTTAGAGAACCATTGGAAAACCAGCTGGGAGTACTGGACAGCTGTTTCGTCCTAGTTTGGGACTCCTCATCAGTACGCACCCACCACAAAAGGCTCGAACCCACGACCCTCATGTTACAAGGCGAGCTCGTAGACCATTGAGCCACTGAGACCCGATCCAATTGGTCTTTGAATTCTAACTTCTGCCAATTCACGACATAGCCCGACCATTTCGTGATGTCTTCTTCGATGAGTTACTACCTCATCTTCAACCTGCAGGTTGAACCCCGGTGGGAATTGAACAGATTCGATAAAATTTATGTATATTTTAACTTCACTATAGTACAGCATTTCATTTTGCCCTCAGAAATTTTCATCTCCGCTTACCATTATTTATTTGATGTACTCAGATAATTACACAGTAATAGTAGTTTTGTTGATAATGACCGATACTTGTATAGGTGGAGTACTTCCACTTTGTTTGCGATTGTCTTTCAATTTATATATCAGCTATTATTATTCGGGTCAGACTTTGAAATGGTTTTCCAATTTGCTGTAATTAATTTGATTTTAGGATAAATTTCAGTATGAATCGACACCTGCTAGAAAATTATAGAAAACAGAAAGACTTAATTCCATTATGGATAAAATATTATTTTGCTTAAATCATACAGTGTTATACAGTAATATTTACCGATAACCACGTTTCGAGAGCAAATTATTGCTCATAATAATAATTTGTGCTCGAAACGTCATCAGTAAATATTACTGTATAACACTATAACTATCCGGCTATCGTCCAAAGGGTGTGTGTACTGCTCAGCAGTTCGCTCCGTCCTCCTTTATGGCTGTGAGACCTGGTCATTGAGAGTAGAGGACATGAAAAAGCTAGCTGTCTTTGATCATGGGTGCCTGCATTCTATCTCACGTGTGAAGTGGTATAATAGGGTGAGGGATATTGAAGTTAGGCGTTGAGTGCTAGGTAAGGATGGGAAATCAATCGACGAGGCTGTAAAGCTACATCGACTGAGATGGTTAGGACGTGTGTTACGCATGCCTAGCCATCGTCTCCCTCGACGGGTAATGTTAGTTGAAATATGGTCAGGTTGGGAAAGAACCGCTGGTGATCGAACCAAAACATAGCCTCACCAGTCAATGAAATCCACAACAGTTAGTTTAAGCCAGCCACGTAGGAAGGTGTAAACTTCCTGGTTGGGGTCCTAGGGACGGTAGAAACCAATGGCTGGAGACAATCGATGATATTGCTCAAAATCGTTCTCAGTGGCTCAGATGCATCCACTCCTTGTGACTTATAATACCTTCGATATTACTATTCCTTTTGCCTCATATCTCTGTTTACTGTCTCTATTTTGCATTAACTTTTACTTTCTGTTTTGTGTACTGAGTGAAGTGTGGCGACTCGAACTGCTGCACATCGGTGCAAAGTTCTATGTTGCAACCAGCCAGCTAGCTATAACTTTATCAAAATAACATTTAATCCATAATGGAGTTATACTCTACCACAGTGCCCAAGTTTTATCCTTATTTCAAGAAAGACTTATTATTGATGTATCATGTAAAGTCGTAAAGCACAAACTAGGGTTTCTGTACTGTTACCATGTCTTCGTACTTATCATTTCAAGAACTGCTACAATACACTTGGGTTATATAAATCACTAATTGAAAATATTTGAAAAGCGTGTACCTCAGCAACTGCATATTCTTATGTGCAATAGTTGTGAACTACAATGACTCTGCTTAGAGCTTAATAATGCTGTCTAACTACCAGACTTTGACAGTTGAGGCGGCGGCGCTTCATAGAATTTCATAGACTTAGTAATTTAACAGCAGTGCTAATAATGTAATTTAGTCATACAATTTTTATACACCTACGCGTTTATGAAACTTCCTTGATGTTGTATTAACAAGTTTTTAATGTTACCCGGTGTTGTTTGGAACCATTTTGCATTTGAAAATTAATCTGAACATGTGAGATACCCTTTGGAAACCGATGGAGCGGTCACATATTTTATCGTTGATTTCATCACAGTTAATGTAATGCATAAAAAGCCAATTTAATATTATTTGTGCATAATTGTAGAGGATTTCATTGTACAAGTAAATCAGCGGTGTTGTACCATAGCTTATTAGGCTGTAATCATTTGAACAGGTTGCATTTTTCTCAACAAATAATTGCAATAAATAGGTGTTACACTCTGTTTAGACTGAAGTCTTCCAATAATAAATTTTTCTGCAAAATTGAGATAACTTTACATTTTCAAAAGAATGGACACGGAACAAAGAGTACTCTTCGACAAATTCATCATCAGGTTCTACAATTATATATACATCATGATAAATGAATGAATTAGTCTTATGAACAACATTAATGTTGTTTAAATAACATCGAATCAATAATATTAATAGATTAAAGCTGAACAGCATCAACATAAAATAAGCTGAATGTCAGAAGAATTATGAAAGATAATAGTACAAATTCATGAGTTTATAGTTTCTACTGAGGGCCAGGGCAGTAGTAGGGGCTGGACTTGTTTCTTTTGAACACAGAGCACTAGTTGTTTGAGGCGAATTGTAATAGCCTCTGCTGTTTGCAGCATACGGTACTTCGACGATTTTGATAGTTTGTTAGGCACCCGGTATATTATAGAGAAGGATTCTTCTACGCTGGCTTTGTGACCGGTTTGCACCAGATGGTCTAATATCGAGCTGTTAATAGTTTTAACTACACCTTTACTTAGCCATAGTGGGATATGTTCTCGAGCACGAAAAATCAAGTTCCTAGAGCAACGGCCAACATAACTCGTTCCACAAGCGCAGTTGAATTGATAAATACAATTTGAAGTGGCTAGTCTAGGTACTTCATCTTTCATTCGAGCTAGCACCATCGGTCGTGTAGAGAATAATACGTGTAGTTCGCCAGCATTAAAAGTTCTTTGAACTGATTTTCTTAATTTCTTCGTAATTAACTCGCTTAGTATATCGCCCATGAGTTGTAGTCGTATATAAAGTGGCTTCTTGTTTGCAGATAGTGGGCAGTCCTTTTCGGCTTTCTTTGTCATATGTTTCTTGATAAATTTTCCAGGATAACCATTTTCGATTAAAGTATCATATACCATGTTCATTCTTTCTTCTATTCTCTACTATTTCGAATTGTAATAATCCTAGTCTGTGCTTGTGCCTGATAATGTAATCATTCTTGTCAGTGTCATACTTATGTGATAAAATTTTCATCTTCTCAAAGTATCTATACTATTTTCCATTGTATTACTAAATGTTTACAGAAAGAATTGTCGGTTACTTCAGATGGTGGGATTAAGTATGCAGAGACAATGGAGGGTGGGAAACCTAAACTTGGCGGATTAATGGATCCTCGACAAGGCTGTGTAGACCGTAGTTCTATTTGTCAAACATGCAGTGGCAATGTATCATCTTGTCCAGGACATTTTGGTCATGTTGAACTTGCTAAACCTGTTTTTCATATTGGCTTCTTAAAAAAGACAGTGAAGGTGTTAAGATGTGTCTGCTTTTACTGCTCTAGACTTCTAGTCGATGTACAAACAACAAAGATTCAAGAAATACTACGCAAAACAAAAGGTGATAATAGACGAAGAATGGCTTTTATGTATGAAGAGTGTAAAACACGTTCTGAGTGTATATCCGGTGATGATCAAATTCCAAATGATAATGATGTCAGTCTTAGCAACAAAGTGAGTTTCATTCAATTTTACTTTCATGTTTTTTAAAAAATTTTTAATTAATAAACATGATAGTCGACTATATTTAAAGTGAGATTAGTTATCCATAGTTAGTGTGGTAGACATTGAAAAGTGGCTTTATCTTAACACACTGATGAATATTTCATACCAAGCTGAGTGATATTAAAATTGCTACACTAACGTACATAAATATTTTCTTCATACAATATATAATACTTTATTCACATAAGATAAGCTGTTTTTTTTTCCTTCACGTTCCCAGTGGAACATAGGGCTTCAAGCTAGAGGCTTGAAGTTTCTGTAGCAGTGCTTATTTTTACAGGAATGGGGCTGCTAGCCTCATACCCAACCTTTCCTCTTCATCAGGTTTATTACTGGCTTAGCGAGGTAAAGGAGTGCGTCGGTCGCCGGGGGTTGAACCCCGGACCATGTGCATGGTCGGCGAGCGTCCTAACCACTATGCCACCGACGCATTAGACCAGCTGCTCTCCTCCCTAATTATTACTTGCCTATGTTCAAAAGAGGAAGGTTTGCCAACTGTTTGTGAATGCCAAAATGATGTACACTGTGAAAAGCACTAAGATGAATAGCTGAGTAGCATATCGAGGTGTTGCTGTTTCATTCTCATGACTTATGTAATTTCGATTCCCCGTGGGTGTACTGCACAACAACGAAGAGCTTTCGTGCTAAACGAAACAACAGACGAAAATGTTTCCGAAGATATTAAATTACTGGTTCTAAGAAAAGTGTTTTCTTTTTTTGACTAAAATAATATAATGCTTAATATTTGTATGAAGTGTCTTGATATGACTCTGTGATGAGTGGGTATTAGTTGAACAACTAGTTTCAAGCTACTTATTGAAGTATGTAAAGTCTCTTCTCCCCCCCCTCTCTCTCTGTCTCATTTATCGTAGAGATAAGTGTTATTTATTAACCAGTATTATTACTATTCATTTATTTTATTCCTTTCCGTTCCCAGTGGAACATAGGGCTTCAAGCTAGAGCTAGCTTGAAGTTGTGGTAGCAGTGGTGTTTATTTTTACGGGGTGGGGTTGCTAACCTTCATACCCAGCCTTCCCTCTTTACCAGTCTCTTATTACTGGCTTAGCGAGGTAATGGAGGGGTGCGTCGGTGACCGGGAATTGGACCTCGAACCACCTGCTTGGTTGGCGAGCATTCTGCCACTGTGCCACCAACACCCTCATGACCTAGTAAATATAAACAAATGTTTGTTGAATACTTCAGTATAGGAGATGTCTTGGTCATTATCATACCGTATTATTCTGTTGTCAATGTTATTGTTATCCTGTACTCAAATGTTTGGATTTTTAAAAGTATATTTTGTTATCTGTCTTTGTTGGCCTATATTACGTAGTACGGAGAATGAATTGCGATGCCCATTTTACTTATTTTTTATACTGTTTTACAAGATACTTAGTTTTTATTACATTTAAATCGCAGCGAGAAAGAGAGTCAGCTACCACATTGGCGTCGCCTTTAATGTACTCTATATCTGTCGAGAACTGAGAGATATAATCTAGCTGCCTAGCTTCTCTGGGTGAGTGTCTATCCAGTGACGTAGTAAAAGCGTAGCACAGGGGTTTGTGATCGGTAAATATTGTGAAATGACGACCTTGTAGCAAATAACTGAAATGTCTGATTGCTAGATAAATTGCTAACAACTCTCTACCAAACGTACTGTAACGCGTCTGAGCTGGTTCCAATTTCTTTGAAAAGAAAGCGAGAGGAGTTACTGCATCATTTATTTTCTACTGGAGTACAGCTCCTACTGCAATTTGAGAGGCGTCAGTGCACAAAATCAAAGATGCCTTAGGAGCGACGCCATACTGCTCGAATCGCTAAAATAAGATGGTGAGGTGATCTGTATGTTCTTCAACCGAAGAGCTAGCAATTAAGACGTCATCGATGTATACAAATACCTGATACATGAAACGCTGGAAGGATTGTGCGGCGTTCTTTAGACCAAACGGCATGCGCAGAAATTCGAACAAACCAAAAGGTGTGATGATGGCTGTTTTTTCGATATCTTCTGGGGCAACTGGTATTTGATGATAGGCTCTGACCAAGTCTACTTTAGAAAAAATTGTTTTTCCATGTAATGTCAGAGAGAAATCATGTAGGTGGGGAATCGGATAACGGTCCGGAACTCTGGCGTTGTTTAAATGTCGATAATCCCCATATGGCCTCCAGTCATGTTCAGCTTTAGGCACCATGTGTAGGGGTGAAGACCAAGGGTTATTGGAAGGTCTGATGATACCGAGCCGCATCACGTGTTCGAATTCTGCCTTGACTGCTGCTAATTTGTCAGGAGGTAATCTACGGTGACGAGCTCGAACCGGTTGACCCGTGGTAACAATTTTGTGAGTGACTGTATGGGGTACGTCCTCGATGTTATACGACGGTTTAAGTATTCTAGGGAAACGATGGAGTAGGGAGGAAAAGGTACAATCCTTTGGTCTCTCGATGCAGATATTGTAGACGAAGTAACTGGAGATGATTCCATGAATTTTTAGTTGAGCGTTGTTATCAATCAGTTTTTTACTGTTGACATCAACTAACAGATTGAAATTACTTAAAAAATCAGCCCCGAGTATGGCATGATCCACATCGGCTACTATGAAAATCCATGTAAAACACCGACGTAAGCCTAGATCCACTATAAGGGATTGTTCACCATACGTCTGTATGCTTGTGTGGTTGGCTTCAGGGACAGTTTTCCTGGTGTCCGAGTAGATCGCCTGGATAGTGAAGGGGGAATCACGCTAACTTCTGCTCCTGTGCCTACCAGGAATAGGGTGCCTGAAGTTTTGTCCTTCACATAGAAAAGGCGATTTGTTTGCTTGCCAGCAACAGCTGTCGCCATCATTGTCTGGCTGAGACGTTTCCCGGAGCCTGATTATCTTCACTAAAGATGCACGATTTGACACATTTCAGGGCATGACGTCCGAACTTCCTATGATACCAACATATATTACTGTCCCTAGAAGACATGCGAGGACGCTGTCGGGAGAGAAATCGTCGTTGTAATTATGACCTTGTTTGTGAACTCCGCCTCCGGACTCATCGATCAGACCTATTTGTTTCCAACTTGTCAATCCTTGCCGCTAAGTCTGCAATGGCGGTGAGTATTGGTGTGTCTGTCGTGGGTGTGGACTGACATGGTGTCGCACTGTCAGATGCAATATGACCTATGGTGTTATTTGATAAAACACCAACAATACTATCTGCCATGTCGCTTAGTGGGTCTAAGTCATACGACTTTCCTGAGATGATTAAAATTTGTTGAACGTTTCTGGGTAAACGTTGCAACCACATCTGTCTCAGGACGACCTCGTCAACTTTATGGTGTCCAATTAACTGGCGCATGTGTCTAAGGAGCTTGGATGGTTTACGCGTTCCTAGCTCGCAGCCCGTGAGTAATTGTTGGATTCTTTTGCTCGTCTGACAAACTGGTGCGTTGTGTAAGAAGGGCTTTAAGTTTGTCATATTGGTTTTCCGTCGGGAGGGAGGTTTCGATGAAATCGCTGATTTCTGTTAACACTGACGGAGGGAGTTCTGCCAGCACGACGCCATATTTGCCTATCTGAGACTTAGTGCCCCGTGCTTCCAACAGCGGCTCGATAACTCCAAACCAAATCCGTGGCTCTGCAAAGCCGTATTGTGGTAAACGAAAATCAGTTATGGCGTTTATTGTGGCCTGTGCCTCGCTGCCAGTTCTCTGTTCGGTTGGTGTACCGGGCTGAGTAGGTGACGACATTATAGGTGTGAGAATATTTGTACAAAGGGGGATACAAATATGAGACCACCAACAAAAAATTTCAATGAAAGTACAAAATAGCAAAATTAAGTGTATAGATACGTGAAAATAATCCGTGTTCAAAACGATGCCCATTTTACTTATTTTTTCATACTGTTTTACAAGATTCTTAGTTTTTATTATCATAAAATTATTAATTTCAAAGATAGGAACAAAGAAATTATTTGAATATTTAATTGTCTAAACAAATTTTGATCAGTGTACATTAGAAAAGTGAAGTGGAATGAAGTGTTCTCAACATCAACATAAAATCAAGTTAATACAATATAACATTGTGTACTACTCTTTTATATGCAGGTGTTGTTTTCATCACATATTGAATAAATTCACTGATTAGTTGATCTATAAATTTTGTGATAGTTATTTATAAGGTATATTAGTGGGGTAAATTTAAACCCAGGCTTTTTAATTTTAAGCCTAACAATAATTGATAGTTGTTAAAACAACCAAATATTGCTTTAATTATCAAAGTCCTTTTAATTTGGACTACAGGTTAAACGCTCTGGCTGTGGTCGTTTTCAACCTCGCTATCGACGCAATGGACTTGAGCTCACTGCTGAGTGGAAAAAAGTGAATGAAGAATCTCAGGAACGTAAAATTAGTTTGACTGCTGAACGTGTTCTAGAAGTTTTCAAACGTATATCAGATGAAGATTGTATATCCTTAGGATTTGATCCACGCTATGCACGACCTGATTGGATGATAGCAACTGTCCTCCCAGTTCCGCCTTTATGCGTTCGTCCTGCTGTTGTTATGTATGGAGCTACACGTAATCAAGATGACTTAACACACAAACTTGCTGATATTATAAAAGCTAATAATCAACTTCGTCGAGATGAACAGAATGGTGCAGCAGCGCATATAATTGTTGAAGATGTTAAAATGCTACAATTCCATGTAACAACAATGGTTGACAATGATGTACCCGGTCTGCCTAAGGCGATTCAGAAATCTGGACGTCCATTAAAGTCAATCAAACAACGTCTTAAAGGCAAAGCTGGTCGTATTCGTGGCAATCTTATGGGTAAACGTGTTGACTTCTCTGCTCGTACTGTCATTACAGCTGATCCAAATCTTAACTTAGATCAAGTTGGTGTCCCAAGAACTATAGCTCAAAATCTTACTTATCCTGAAATGGTTACACAATTTAACATCGATCATCTACAGAAACTGGTACAGAATGGAACTCTTTATCCTGGTGCTAAGTTTATCGTACGTGAAAACGGGGATCGTATTGACTTACGATATCATCCTAAAGTATCAGATCTTACACTTCAAGTTGGTTATATTGTTGAGCGGCATATGTTAAATGATGACTTCGTTATTTTCAATCGTCAGCCAACTTTACATAAAATGTCTATGATGTGTCATCGGGTGAAAGTTTTACCCTGGTCTACATTTCGTTTAAATCTCTCTGTCACTTCACCGTATAACGCCGATTTCGACGGTGATGAAATGAACTTACATCTTCCACAGTCTGTTGAGACCAAGGCTGAAATAAGTCAGTTAGCCCGTGTCTCACGTTTAGTAATTACACCACAAGCTAATAAACCAGTAATGGGTATTGTCCAAGACACGTTGACTGCAGTGAATAAAATGACTCAACGTGATGTATTCTTGAATAGGTCAGAAATGATGAATCTACTCATGTATTTACCAACTTGGAATGGTCGTATGCCAAAGCCAGCAATTTACAAACCACAGCGTTTGTGGACTGGAAAGCAGTTGTTCAGTCTCGTCATACCCGGTCGAGTTAATTGTATTCGTACACACAGTACTCATCCAGAAGAAGAAGACATCGGTCCCTACAAATGGATATCACCTGGGGACACCAAAGTTATCGTTGATGATGGAGATTTAATCGCTGGTATTTTATGTAAAAAGACTCTTGGATCCGGTGCCGGCTCTTTGATTCATATTGTTGCTCTGGAGCATCATCATGATCAAGTTAATATGTTCTTTAATAACATCCAAACAGTGGTGAACAACTGGCTCTTGATAGAAGGACATACGATTGGTATTGCTGATACATTGTATGATCAGGCAACTCGTCGACAGATTAGCGGTACTATCACAAAAGCCAAAGATGCTGTGTTCGAAATTATTGATCAGGCTCACAATTACGATTTGCAGCCAACACCAGGCAACACACTTCGTCAAACCTTTGAAAACAGCGTTAATAAAATCCTTAATGATGCCCGTGATAAAACTGGTAGTTGTGCTCAACGCTCCTTATCCAAGTACAATAATTTCAATATTATGGTTGTTGCTGGGTCTAAAGGTTCTCGAATTAATATATCCCAGGTCATTGCGTGTGTGGGTCAGCAAAACGTTGAGGGTAAGAGAATTCCTTTTGGTTTTCGTCATCGTACTTTACCACACTTCATCCAAGATGATTATGGTCCTGAGTCTCGTGGGTTCGTGGAGAATTCGTATCTTGCAGGGTTAACACCCACTGAATTTTTCTTTCATGCAATGGGTGGTCGAGAAGGTTTGATTGATACAGCTGTCAAGACTGCAGAAACAGGTTATATTCAACGTCGTTTGATTAAAGCTATGGAGTCAGTTATGGTGAAATATGATGGTACTGTTCGTAACCAAATTAATCAATTAATTCAACTTAGATATGGTGAAGATGGTTTGGATGCAACGCATGTAGAATTTCAGCGTCTTCCAACATTTAAACCGTCTAATGCTGTTTTTGAGCACAGTTTTCGTTTTGATATCGGGAATGAAAGAGTACTTCGTCGATGTATGCCTGAAGATGTAGTTCGAAGTCTAGCAACTGATTCTCAAACTCAATCTGAACTTGATTCAGAATGGTTACAATTATGCGCTGATAGAGAATTATTACGATCTGTCATCAAAAAAACTGATGATTCTGTAGTTTTACCATGCAATATTAATCGACTTGTGATGAATGCACAAAAAATATTTGAAATAGATCCACTTTCTAAAACAAATGTACATCCTAGACAAGTTGTTGAGATGGTTCGAGAAACTTGTAAGCGTCTAATAGTCGTTGGAGGTGATGATCGACTAAGCAAGGAAGCCAATGCAAATGCTACACTTTTATTAAGTTCATTAGTTAGAGCATCATTGTGTGCAAAAAAGGTGATTGTCGACTATCGTCTAAGTTATGAAGCATTGGATTGGGTATTAGGTGAAGTGCGTGCACGTTTCCAACAAGCACATATTCATCCAGGTGAAATGGTTGGTGCACTAGCAGCTCAATCACTTGGAGAACCCGCTACCCAGATGACACTGAACACTTTCCACTACGCTGGTGTATCTGCTAAAAACGTCACCCTCGGTGTTCCTCGTTTAAAAGAAATAATCAACGTGAGTAAACGACCAAAAACTCCATCTATGACCATCTATCTCACCGGTCAGGCGGCTAGAGATGCTGAACGGACAAAAGATGTTGTTGCCCGGTTGGAGCATACTACTTTACGTAAGCTAGTCAACAGTACGTATATATATTATGATCCAGATCCGCAAAATAGTGTAGTTGAAGAAGATAGAGAATGGGTATCAACTTATTATGAATTGCCAGATTTTGATGTCAGTGCCATAAGCTCTTGGATGCTTCGTATTGAATTCGCCAGAAAAGGTATGACTGGTAAAAAATTGTCAATGGAACAAATCGCGGATAAGATAACCCGAGCTTTTGGAAATGATCTAATATGCCATATACCAGACGATAACTTGAAACTAGTCATGAGGATTCGTATAATGAATAGCGATTTGGAAAAAGATTTCAAGGATGCTGATACTACTTCTGATAAAATGGAAGATGATACTTTCCTTCGTTTTATCGAAGCAAATTTACTAACAGATATTACACTTCAAGGAATACCTCAAATCACAAAGGTTTACATGCATCTGCCAAAGACACAAGATAAGAAACGTGTAGTAATCAAGGATGATGGAAGCTTCGATGCTGTTGCAGAGTGGATGTTAGAAACTGATGGTACTTGTTTAATGAGAGTTCTAGCTGAACGAGATGTTGACCCTGTACGCACTGTTAGCAATGACATAGTGGAAATTTTTGAGGCTCTTGGAATTGAAGCTGTAAGAAAAGCAATAGAATGTGAAATGCATCATGTGATATCATTCGATGGTTCTTATGTCAATTACCGACATCTCGCATTGTTGTGTGATATTATGACTGTGAAAGGACACCTTATGGCAATTACCCGACATGGGCTTAATCGTTTGGACACTGGTGCTTTGGCTCGCTGTAGTTTCGAAGAAACAGTTGACATACTCATGGAGGCAGCAGTTCATTCTGAATGTGATCCAATGGCTGGTGTTTCCGAGACAATTATGCTGGGTCAGCTGGCTAGAATCGGCACAGGTTGTTTTGATCTGCTTTTAGATTCTGCCAAATGTCAAGAAGCACAACCTATACCTCTTGGTGGTGTTCTGGGGATGGGCTTGTTTAACGCGCCAGGTTTCGAAGGTATTGCCGCACTTGCTTCTCCTGGGATGGGGTTAACTATGAATGCAGATGGTATACCCGTACTTGGAGACAGTGGTTATCATACACCGTGGGATAGTGCTCATTCACCTGTAGGGTCTGTGGACTCACCAACTTATCGTGGTGGTCTTGGTGGTGCAACTGCCCCTCATAATGCCATGTTCTCGCCTGCTATGCGTTATGATTCTTCCTTATCTCCTGGTCGCAGTCCTCAGCTAGATAGCCCTCGTACTCCAGAAGCGTTTTCACCAGCTGCTTATGTTGGCTTTAGCAGCCCTATGTCCTTCATGGGTACTCCACAAACTGATTTGGGTTCACCTGGTTCCAGTCCGGGACATTCAGGGAGTCTTAGCAGCGGATCTTTTGGTTATGGAGGTCCAGGAAGTCTTGGTGGTGATATATTTTCACCTATACATAAACCATCCTATGCTGGAACGGGCAGTAGTTCAAGTTTCAGTGCCAGTGGAGATAGCAATTCGCCAACCTTTTCTTTACAACAGTCATATGAACCTATGTCTGTTGGATACACTCAACGTTCCCCACACCATCCCAGCTTTTCAGGATATGGAATGTTGTCCAGTGGATCGCTTGGTCCATCTAGCGATTCTCCAGACAGTATAAATTACTCATACAGTCCTAATAGTCCAATGCCTACAGGTGGCAGTTCGATGAGTCGAGATTTTAGTAGTTGGGGTGTTTTGCCTGGGTCAGAAACACCTGGAGTTTCACCTAGTTCACCTTCACCTGGTATGAGTGCAAGCAGTTTAAGTGGAAGTCGAGCATCCTTCTATCCAAATAGCCAGCCTGCGTCACCGTTATCATTCAATGCTTCTCCCTCTGCTCCTCGTTACAGCCCACCTACATTAGCTGGAAGTTCATCAGTAGAAAGCTATTCTCCACAAATGACAACACCAAGTTCACCTGGTGGTGCTCCAAGTAGCAGTTTGGGTGGACCGAGTAATTCTCCACTTTCTTATCCAACTACTCCAAATTATCCAATGTCCCATGGAGTTAGTAGTGGTACTGGTTTGGGATCGTCAAGCTTGTTGGGTTATTCAGCAACTGGTTTTTCAGGATCCACTTTGGGTACTTCTGCCTACAGTCCATCAACTTTCCACACGCCTTCATCTCACTATTATATGACTACTCCACGACCAGGTTCACCATCTCCAAGTCCACGAGAGTATTATCCAACTCCTGATTCAAGACGATGAGGAATATCTACTTTTCTTTGGATTGTCTGTCTACAACCTTATGTTATAATATGTACATAGATTTACTGAATGACGCTAAATTTTAAATTATTTGTCACAGTTTAAAGTTAAATTTAACATTGCAACGGTTTTCAAGTTTATATTTTGCTTTGATAATAATAATATTAACTCTGTCATACATCAGTTTATTTTCATATTATATTATTAAACTTTGTAAGTCTCCATTTGATCTTTTGTTTTACGTGAACCTTGATGAACGTTATATTATATTGTGAGTATATAAGTGTATCATTATAATAGAAGAAGCATACCTGCATCCTAGCACTAGAGTATCTTGAAAGAAAATACATTTTGCCGTCTGTTAATCGTATGAAATTTGCGTACTCAGTACTCGAATATAATGCCGGGATCTTTTTGTGTATATCCGAGAGTAGTATGCTAATTACTGAATTACAATAAGTCTACTTACTATACTGGTTGATTTCTTTTTGATCAGAAATTTATCGTTTAGATCAGGATACATTCGATGACATAAGGAGGAGAGTGTGTATACGGAACTTTGTGCACTATATATATATATATATATATATATATATATATGGCTCTTTGAAAATTTGCGGTTTGAAATGTGTGTATATATATTTAAAAGAAAGAATGAACTCACCTACGTCTGAGGGTGTTGTGTAGAATTTCTTATACTCGAAAAATTTTCCTGCAGTGTGTATACCTGCATGTGTGAGGAAGACAGATATTGTAGTATATATTCGAATATGCAGATATCAGTGCATATTTAGCTAAATTAGATCGAGTGTTTAGTGTATCAGTTGGTATAAAAGGCGGAGTATTTGAAATTCATGTTCCACTGTTGTTGTTGTTGTTTTTCGTGGAATTTTCTCCAGCGCTTATAAACAAAAATTTTGCTATATGATTTTGGGAATTGGAGGACACAGAAGTCAACAGAAGGTTTGTTTTCGTAACTTCTCATTATCAGAGTTGTATAGTTATTTGGGGTGGATTATTTGTACATATGTATGTTAGTGTCGCCAGCTTGAGTCAGAAACTGTCATCATGTAGTAAGTTACAAATCAAAGTCTGTCAGAAATAGCAGTGTGTAAAACAGTAATGCATAGCTCTAAATAATCAAAAAAAGCAGACTAATTAATTAAGTGATGAATGAGTATTTGGCAAATCTTTTGAACGTCGTTAATAACAATGACTATAATGATAACGGAATATTGGTAATAAGGCTTATGCAAGTGGTGATAAGAGTAACGAAGGTAGTAATATGTGTGGAAAAGGCATCGGTGGTTGGCAACACCAGACAACTGTTCAGGCTTATCAGGGAAACAGGTGGCAAAAGGCAAATGATAAGCGAAACAATCTCGGAGAAAAACGGCACCATAATTAGCTCCCAGGATAGGCGACTGGAACGCTGGAAAGAACACTATGAGGAGCAGTTTAATTGGCCTACAGCCACACTTAACCTACCGAACATCCAACACCTCCCTGAATGGGATATAGACACAGGTCCTCCGTCCTTAACTGAGGTTACTAAAGCTGTCACTAATCTGAAGCAAGGCAAAGCAGCGGGACCTGATCGAATGACTCCAGAGGTATTTAAGTACGGTGGAGACAGTTTACTGTCTGCATTAACTGAGGTTCTAGGCAGCGTCTGGGTAATCAGAGGAAGTCCCATCGGGTTGGTGTAAGTCACTGATCATCCTGATAAACAAGAAGGGAGACAAGTCTTCTTGTGATAATCACAGAGGGATTAGCTTGACTAATATGGTATCTAAAATCCTAGGCTCAATAATACTACGTAGACTAAGTGGTGCTCGGGAGGAACAAACACGAGAAAACCAGGCAGGATTTACGCCAGGAAGAGGGTGTATTGAAGATATCTTCATCCTTCGACAGATTCTGGAACATAGGCATTCCTACCGGCATCCAACAATCATTATATTTCTTGACCTAAAGGTGGCATTCGATTCTGTCGACCGGGAGGTTCTCTGGCGATGCTTGGCTGTAAAGGGAATGCCGAGAAGATACATTGCACTGATTAAGGCACTCTACTCGAACTCATGCAGTCAGCCACGTGGGAGCTTACGGCCAGTTGTCATCTGAACTGGTGACAACTAGTAGTGTCTGTCAGGGATACCCACTGTCCCCATTTCTATTCAATTTCATCATAGATGTACTAATGGACTTATTCCTAACTGAATTCAGTGACTCAGGGATTGGTTGACTTGTAACTATCAGGGAATAATCTCGTTGACTTAGAATATGCGGACGATATAGTCCTTCTACGCGAGGACGCTGACAAAATGCAGAATCTTCCGAACACCTTGAGCAACAATCTTCGTATGTTTGGCATGCGATTCGCCCCTGTAAAATGTAAGATGATGCTGCAGGATTGGACTACACCGACCCACCCCTAGATTAGAAATAGGAAGTGAAGTGGTAGAGCACGTTGACCGCTTCACTTACTTGGGAAGTACCATCAGCCACAACTGGTTGATCTCTGACGAAATCTCAACACGAATACAGAGGGCTAGTTTCGCATTTGCCAGTTTACGCTGTCTCTGGCGTAGACGCGATATCCGACTATAGACCAAAGGGCGTGTGTACTGCTCAGCAGCCCACCCCGTCCTCATTTATGGCTGTGAGACCTGGCCATTGAGAGCGGAAGACATGAAAAGATTAGCTGTCTTCGATCATAGGTGTCTGCGTTCTATCTCCTGTGTGAAGTGGTATAATAAGGTGAGCAATATTGAGGTTAGGCGTCGAGTGCTAGGTAAGGAGGGGAAATCAGTCGACGAGGCTGTGCCGTTACATCGACTGAGATGGTTAGGACATGTGTTACGTATGCCTAGTCATCGCCTTCCTCGACGGGCAATGTTAGCTGATATAGGGCCAGGCTGGAAAACAAACAACGTTCCTAAAATTGCAATTCAATGGGGACGTGTCTAGTGAAGTCTTACATCTAAGATTATCGAGAGCAATAAAACGAACTTACACTTCCGCCAACCTTTGTTTGTCATTCTCCAGCCGACCAATTATGATTGCTCAAGCGAAAGACAAGCTACCTCCTAGCTAGCTGTGCCATTTCTATGTGTATCTACAATTTTGGCTGCTCCTGTGGAGAAAGCTATGTAGGGCGAACAACTAGACAGCTTAACAGACGTGATAATGAGCATCTTCCTTCATGGTTCGGAAAAGGTCAAATAAAATCTATACGAAGTTCTATTTTGTCTCATTTGATTGATGGCGGTCACCAATGACGAAGTATGTAAGTTATTTATCACATTCCATCGATCCTTTCGAACGGAATTCGAACCCGCCTTTTACACATAGCCGAAGCTATGAGAATTAATTCGAGAGAACAGTCTTAGTCTTTGCATACAACAAAAGAAGTTTGTCCTAACTTTGTCTCTGCCTTGCTTGCCTAGGTAAAGTGTGATTAAAACCCACCTACCCTCCTTTTTATTTTCCATTCCCTTCGTACTTTTCTGATATTTATTTAAACTCTGATTATGTGTTCACTTCACGTTTAGTATTATGTAACTTTTAAGATTTGACCTAATTTATTTATTGAATGATTATGTAACGAATAAGCCTGGTGTTCGTTCCATTCTTCTTTCAATGGTAGTTATCGCTGATGGGAAACGAGAAGAGGAGTTGAAGGAGGATTACTATGGAATTTATTGTGAAACAAATCAAGAAAAGCAAATTGTGAAACTAAGCCTGTGTATGGATAAAGGTTACTGAACGCAGTTTAGAATTTCCATTATAACTAACAATAGCTTCGATTGCATAAAGACGCAAGCAGAATCCTTTTGACTGGTTCAATCTTATCGTATATATGACTCTAAATGAGGTATTTGCCGATCCCGTATGACGAGAATTAAAAATTAACGTCAGCAGAAAGTTTGTGCGTTGTGGAATAGATCAAATTAATTATATTTATATTTTAGTAGTTTGCACACAATACTACAATAATGTGCTTTGATTGACTGACTGGTTTCAATCTAGAACTTTGCACAGATGTGCATCAGTTCGAGTCGCCACACTCTATTTAGCACACAAAGCAAGAGAAGTGTGAGAGATTATAAAGAGAAATGTGAGGCAAAAAGAATAGTAATATGTAAGAATAATAGGATTTTATTGGATATTATAAATCACAAAGAGTGAATGCATCTGTGCCAGCCATTGACAACGATTTTGTTCCATATCAGCAATTGTCTCTAGCCTTGGTTGTTACCATTCTGAAGACCCCAACCAAACATCACTCTACACCTCCCTACGTGGCTTAAACTAAATGTTGTGGATTTCATTGACTGATGAAGCATATTTTGTTTTGACCACCATTAGTTGACTCTTTTCCAACCTGATCCATCCTATGTCAGTCAGCTAACATTGCCCGTTGAGGAAGGCGATGGCTTGGCAGTCATACGTAACACATGGCCTAACTATCTCAATCGGTTGTAACTTCACAACGTCATCGATTGATTTCCCTTCCTTACCTATCATTCGACCGAGGCCTAACCTCAGTATTGCTCACCTTATTATAACACTTGACACGGGAAATAAAACTCAAACACCTATGATCAAAGACAGCTAGGCAGGCTCTTCATGTCTTCTAATTTCAATGACAGACAGACAATTTCAATGACCATGTCTCACAGTCAGCCATAAACGAGGGCAGAGCGAACTGCTGAGCAGTACGCACGTCCTATGTTCGACAGTCCGTCGGATATCACGTCTACTAGGCCAGAGATCGCGTAATTTGGCGAGTATATGCCAAACGAGCGTTCTGTATTTGTGTAGAGATTTCGTCAGCGATCAAACCGTTGGCGTTGGCTGGTGCATCTCTCCAAATTAGTGAACTGGTTGACACATTCTCCACCGTTTTAATCCCTGTCTTTAAGCTATGAGTAGTCAATGTAGTCCAATCCTGTAGCATCATCTTACATTTAGCGGGAGTGAATCGCATGTCAAACATTCTCAGATTTCAGCTCAAGGTGTTCATAAGCCTCTGCATTTTGTCAGCGTCTTCACCTAGTTGGAACGTCTATATCATCCGCATATTCTAAGTCAACGAGATTATTCCCTGATAGTAACAAGTCAATCAATCCCTGAGTCACTGAATTCAGTTAGGGTTAAGTCCATTAGTGCATCTATGATGAAATTGAATAGAAATGGGGACAGTGGGCATCCTTGACGGACACCACTAGTTGTCACCAGTTCAGATGACAACTCGCCGTAAGCTCTCACCAGCATGCATGAGTTCGAGTAGAGTGCCTTGATTATTGTGATGTATTTTCTCGGCATTCCTTTCACAGCCAAACATCGCCAGAGTACCTCTCGGTCGACAGAATCGAATGTCACCTTAAGGTCAAATATATA